CCGAGTATTCACAACTTTGCCTTTCATGCAGGCCAGCCTGCCTCAGATTCCGACTCAAATGGACCTCACCGCAAAGTCAAAAGAGTAAGTATTCTCCTTGGTCTGTTTGTGGTATTGGTTGTAATGGTAGCATTGTAGTGGCATACAGCTTTTGCTTGAATGGCCCAAAAAAAATTCTACTTACAAGGGAGTTGCCAAGGCTACTAACAGAATTCTTAGGAAAAAAAAAAATGGTCTCAAATTTGGGCAACTTCAGTATTAGAACAGGTAAATATTCCTTTGTGTAGCAGAGAGAATGTAAAGGATATGAATGACAGTAATATTGATTGATTATAGTTGTCAGAGCTTTCAGTCTCATATTAAGACTGAAGTTTATGTTGATAAGGGTTGATAGCTTAGGTAAAGAAGAGGATGTGGTTTAGGGATTGATGTAATAACAAAAATAATGATCATTGTTGATCATACTCCAAAATGGGGAGTTGGAAACCATTTACCAAAATTAATTTTTAAATCGAAGATAAGTTAAAGTTGCAAATGATATCTGTTTAGGGAGAGCTAAATTGCAGCTGCAGTTGGTGATGATTGCTTAGGCAGTGTTAGTTGACTGCATGGTAGCAGCTCAGATTTTATCTTATTCTTTTTTTTTTGCCAGTCTTCCTCTCTCTTTCTATTATGTTATTAGAAGTGCTTAATGATATTTGATGTGCTGAAAGATTGCAAGAGAAAATCTACCTAGAGTCAAGAGGATTGAAGATTATACTTAATTTTCCAGTTCTTAATTTTTTTTATGTTATTTTTTTGTGTCTGGAATTTGAAAAGAATAGATTATAGCTGTCAATAGAAGTATTTTACCTTTTCATTGATAATCCTGTGGAATGTCAAGAAAAAGGTGAAATTAGTGTATTCTGTGGATTCAGTACTTTTTGTTATAGTTATCTGATTTTTATGGAAAGAAATGGGATGTAGCATAAATTATGAGATTTATAAAACTATGAGTATTATACAAAGTTTTAGTTACAGTGGATCAGAAATTACAGATTATGATGGATGCTTCCTGAGTTATCAGTTGTTAAAGATAGAAGGGTATCTTTAAGAGGTTTAAAGGGTTCAGGCATATCTGTAAATGTGTGGTTGACAGAAACCTGTCTGCTCCTCAGCCCTAATTTTGTCAAGTTTTTCCATTCTATCAACTGTGTGAGGACTACTCACATGCCACCCATCTTTAGATGGACATGTTTGTAGTTTAACCATTCTCATTGAATATCCACAGCTGTACCCTAGTATTTGTCACCCACACCACAGATGTGCCAAGGCTTCAAAGGGGGGGAATCACTGTATGAAACCAATTATGAAGGGGTCATTGGTTTCCTAGTTTTGCCATGTTTCTTGAAGGAGTTGGAAGTACTGTTGAAAGCTCTATTGACTTCCTAATTGGTTAAAGAGGCAACCACAACAATTAGTTTTGTCTGCAAGGCTGTAGTATTGGGGCATCTTTTTCATATAAATTATTGTCCAGGTAATTTCTACATTTGAGGTATATTTCATATTACAAGTTATTGTTTGTAAGTAGTCACTTTTTATACAATTTACCAATTAAAAATAATTTTCCAGTAAACATGTTAACCCATGAAGAATTTGGCTGAGTGCCAGATGACAAGAATGTGTCATCGTAAAAAATATGGCTGATGGCTAGGCTGATAAGAATGTGTTGTGAGATATTGTAACTGAGTGGCAGGTTATGGGGACATCTTGCTTTGAGTGTATAACACTCTTGGAGGGAGATTAGACTCATTGGGTTGTTAGGAAGGGGCTTTTACATTGTTTCCTTCAGTAAGCAAGAGCCATGCCTGGAAATGCACCAGGTTCATAAGGACACTAATTTCATACAGAATAACCTTATAGTCAGGCATTTCATAGGTCTAGAGATTAAGCAGTCCAAAATTGTCCTTAACCATCACTTTTTTATGCTTTTATTTGAAAGCAATAATGAGCATATCCAGAATTAAGGAAACAAGATGGAAAACTTTGGCCTTTATTTCTAGTGTGCTCCAATTATTTTATTGCTACATTCAGAATTTAGGTGAAGGTACTAAGTCAGACTTAGTACCTTATCTGTGCTGTAGTCTGAATATTTTGCACATGTGTTCTTAAGCAGTTTTAAACACAATTTAAAATGTTTTGAAACCTGTTGGTATGCTTTTTAATGAGGGGCATGGGAAATTTTTATGTAACTATAACTGGGAGGGGTTTGGGGTTCAGCTCCGAGTTTCAGTAAGGGAACCGAAGCGTTATGTATTGCTGTTCCCTGAGATAAAGGCAGAACTGAATAAAATCACGAGTGATAAGTGAAAGAAATGAACCTAGAAGGACACAACCATTCAGTAAAACACATTACTGTTCTTACTGGAATTCTGTACATTGCATTATTGAATTGTAGCCCCCTACTGTACATGGTTTTTAAATAATTATCATGTTATTGAAGTTGGAGACAATGTATGTTTGGATTATATGATAACAATCCAAATACATGCTGGGAACAGTAATGGGTATAATTGTCTATACCTACTGCCTTAAGATTGGTAACTCTCTTGTAGGTATTCTTTGTTGTTGTTATTGTTTTGCTTTTTTTAATAAATTGCATTGTGTCGTAAGTTGCAGCCTACCAATAGGATGTATCTAGTGGATTGGTCCAATAGGCTCTACAGCTTATAGTATGTTTTTCATGTAATTTGCTTTGCCATTAACTGCTTTGCAAATGCTTCCAGAATAGAGTAATAGGTTATGAATGTGATAAAATGTGTGTGAACATGCACACATTCATGTTCACACAAGCAGATGCATACAAACCCAGACACATGCATGAAAACCAGACACATGCATACAAACCCAGACACATGCATACAAACCCAGACACATGCATGAAAACCAGACACATGCATACAAACCCAGACACATGCATACAAACCCAGACACATGCATGAAAACCAGACACATGCATACATATCCAGACACATGCATACATATCCAGACACATGCATACAAACCCAGTCACATGCATACATATCCAGACACATGCATACAAACCCAAACACATGTTTACTAGCCAAGACACATGCATACAAATCCAGACGCATGCATACAAATCCACACACATGCATACAAATTCAGACACATGTGTACCAACCAAGACACATGCATACCAACCAAGACACATGCATACAAATCCAGACACATACATACAAATCCAGACACATACATACAAATCCAGACACATACATACAAACCCAGACACATGGGTACAAACCCAGACACATGGGTACAAACCCAGACACATGGGTACCAACCCAGACACAAGGGTACCAACCCAGACACATGGGTACAAACCCAGACACATGGGTACAAACCCAGACACATGGGTACCAACCCAGACACATGGATACCAACCCAGACACATGGGTACCAACCCAGACACATGGGTACCAACCCAGACACATGGGTACCAACCCAGACACATGGGTACCAACCCAGACACATGGGTACCAACCCAGACACATGGGTACCAACCCACGACACATGGGTACCAACCCAGACACATGGGTACCAACCCAGACACATGGGTACCAACCCAGACACATGGGTACCAACCCAGACACATGGGTACCAACCCAGACACATGGGTACCAACCACGACACATGGGTACCAACCCAGACACATGGGTACCAACCCAGACACATGGGTACCAACCCAGACACATGGGTACCAACCCAGACACATGGGTACCAACCCAGACACATGGGTACCAACCCAGACACATGGGTACCAACCCAGACACATGGGTACCAACCCAGACACATGGGTACCAACCACGACACATGGGTACCAACCACGACACATGGGTACCAACCACGACACATGGGTACCAACCACGACACATGGGTACCAACCACGACACATGGGTACCAACCACGACACATGGGTACCAACCACGACACATGGGTACCAACCACGACACATGGGTACCAACCACGACACATGGGTACCAACCACGACACATGGGTACCAACCACGACACATGGGTACCAACCACGACACATGGGTACCAACCACGACACATGGGTACCAACCACGACACATGGGTACCAACCACGACACATGGGTACCAACCACGACACATGGGTACCAACCACGACACATGGGTACCAACCACGACACATGGGTACCAACCACGACACATGGGTACCAACCACGACACATGGGTACCAACCACGACACATGGGTACCAACCACGACACATGGGTACCAACCACGACACATGGGTACCAACCACGACACATGGGTACCAACCACGACACATGGGTACCAACCACGACACATGGGTACCAACCACGACACATGGGTACCAACCACGACACATGGGTACCAACCACGACACATGGGTACCAACCACGACACATGGGTACCAACCACGACACATGGGTACCAACCACGACACATGGGTACCAACCACGACACATGGGTACCAACCACGACACATGGGTACCAACCACGACACATGGGTACCAACCACGACACATGGGTACCAACCACGACACATGGGTACCAACCACGACACATGGGTACCAACCAAGACATGTGTACCAACCGACACACATGCATACCAACCGAGAAACATGCATACCAACCGAGAAACATGCATACCAACTGAGACTCATGCTTACAGACCCAGACACATGCTTACCAACCCAGTGAGAGAGAGAGTGAGAGCAAGAGAGAGAGAGAGAGCGAGAGCGAGAGCAAGAGCAAGAGCAAGGGAGAGAGAGAGAACGAGCGAGAGCAAGGGAGAGAGAGAACGAGCGAGAGCAAGGGAGAGAGAGAGCGAGCGAGAGCAAGGGAAGAGAGAGAACGAGCGAGAGCAAGGGAGAGAGAGCGAGCGAGAACAAGGGAGAGAGAGAGCGAGCGACAGCAAGGGAGAGAGCGAGTGAGAGCAAGGGAGAGAGAGAGCGAGCGAGAGCAAGGGAGAGAGAGAGAGCGAGCGAGAGTAAGGGAGAGAGAGAGAGCGAGCGAGAGCAAGGGAGAGAGAGAG